GACAAAAATAAATATTTATTAATTTTTATATTACATATATATTATTTTTCTAAGCATATATATAATATAATATTATTATATATTATTATAATATAATATATATAATATTACTATAATATAATATATATAATATTACTATAATTAAATCCTAAATATATATATGCTTAGAATTAGTTATATTAATATTTATTAATTTTTATATTATATGAATATTATTATTCTAAGCAATAGAATATATATATAATATTAATATAATTAATCCTAAATATATATATATATATATATATATAATATATAATAATATTATATTATATATAAGCTCAGAATAATAATACTCATGTAATATTATATATTCATATAATATAATAATACTCAATAATATTATAGTATACATACTCGGTTATATTTTTGTCGAAAAATGAGTAATATTATCAATAAATAAATCTCTGTTGCAGAGGACCGCGACCCAACACCAGGCGCAAGTGACTGCACAGGGTAAGTAGTAAATATAACATTCAGTTACTGATTAGGCAACGAATCGAGTGTCTGGAGCTTTCTTGGCTCTGTCAGCGCTGAAGCAGTCAAGATAGAACATGTGTGTCAAAAGATAACCGAGAAATGTCACTCGATGTAATACCGTCTGAAAAATGGCATGGTTCATATTATCACGGGCTTTCTGGGTTCTCATTACGTATCAGAGTGTATTAATTCATATTTAAATGAGCACACATGTATTTGCCCGCGTCATGCACAATTACGTAGATATCGTGCGGACATTTTTACATAATTCGGTATCCGCGTGATACTGCGAAACGCGTCGTAATACGCTTCATTGAGTTGATCTCCGAATTATTCTTCCGTTAAGTTCAATTAATCGTTCGATCACGGAGAGCGTGTGTATAAGAGGAATTCAAATAATACTTTTAAGTATTTCTTTATAGTGAAAATATCATTACGATTGGATCGTTAACAAAATACACAACTAAAAATTACGGAGACCTAGCTTATCCGAAGTCGCTTTCTTTTTCTTAAATATTGGGTTGGCAACTAAGTAATTGCCGATTTGTTCAATGAAATAAAAATTTTTTTTTACTTGGAACGAAGTTTAATCCGTAATGTATTTTCCATTTTGTTCGATGACCTTTTGCCATCTCTCTGACAACTTGAAAATTCCCCGCTCGTAGAAAGTCTGATCCTTTTCGGCCAAAAACCGAGTTAAGTGAGATTTTACAGCGTCATCGTCATTAAAAGTTTTACCACGAAGGGAGTTGTCCAGGGATCGAAATAAGTGGTAATCCGATGGCGCGAGATCAGGGCTATATGGTGGGTGTAACATCGATTCCCAACCAATATCCATCAATTTTTGCCGAGTGGACAAAGACGTGTGCGGTCTAGCATTGTCCTGGTGGAAAATGACACCTTTACGATCGACCAATTCTGGTCGCTTTTCCTTGACCGCTGCATTCGATTTGTCCAGTTGCTAACGTTCACGGATAATAAAAAATAACATAATAATAATAATAATA